GGTGAGCGGCTGGCCCCACTTTCCCTGTCCAGCTCTCCCGCGCCCCTCCCTCCCGGGCCTCCCGCTGACTGAGCCCCTGTTCTCCCCTGTAGGAGGCTTCGATGCCTTCCAGGCCTGCTGTCCCGACCTGTGCTCCGAGTCCCCCGCCCCAGCGATGCCTCCTGCTGGGGCAGAAAGCAGCCGCTCAGACCCCAGGGTTCCCTTCTATGACCAGGTGAGTTGAAATCAAAGCTCCTTATCACTGCCCCCCTGTGTCAGTCACTGTGCCTGGTGTGGGTCTGTGGTCTGTGGATGTTTGCAGCCACCTTTGAGGCTCAAGGGAGATGTGTTTATCCCGGAGTGCTGTGTGCCCCTTGGTGTCCTCAGACCCCCAGGAGCCTGGTCTTGGTCAGGACTGCCCCGGGGCTCCTCCAGGCCTGTGTGGAGAAGGTCTCACCCCTCCCCTCCCCTCTTCCTCCAGGGTGGCCCTGTGGAGATCTTGCCCTACCTCTTCCTGGGCAGCTGCAGCCACTCATCAGATCTGCAGGGCCTGCAGGCCTGTGGCATCACCGCTGTCCTCAACGTCTCCGCCAGCTGCCCCAACCACTTCGAGGGCCTTCTGCGCTACAAGAGCATCCCGGTGGAGGACAACCAGATGGTGGAGATCAGCGCCTGGTTTCAAGAGGCCATAGGCTTCATCGGTATGAGGGGTGCTTGGCCCTAGGATGGGGGGGTTCAGGGGACAGACTTGGGACATGGTTTCCTCCCTGCTCAGCTTCCCATCTGACCCCCGCCCTTTTCCCTTGCAGATTCTGTGAAGAACAGTGGGGGCCGGGTGCTGGTGCACTGCCAGGCGGGCATCTCCCGCTCTGCCACCATCTGCCTGGCATACCTCATACAGAGCCACCGCGTGCGGCTGGATGAGGCCTTTGACTTCGTTAAGCAACGCCGGGGGGTCATCTCCCCCAATTTCAGTTTCATGGGGCAGCTGCTACAGTTTGAGACTCAGGTGCTATGTCACTGAGGTGCACACAGCTGTGGTTCCAGGGGAGCTGACCTGGGACAGCTAGGCTGTCCTTGGGGGCCCCGCAGCCTCACCTCAGGGAGAACTGCCCCTTCCTCGGAGTTTGGAAAGCTCCCAGGTAGGGGCGCTGGAAGTACAGGAATGTGGACTCTCACCTGGTGCTCTTCTGCTAGGGGTCTGAGGGCTGGCCCTCATCTGGGGACAAGAGTGAGGGTTTGTCTACTTCCCTCCTCCCCCATCCTCTGGCAGAAACTAACTGGACTTTACACCCATGGACCCAGTGGCCCCACCACTGTGTTGAAGCCCTTGGCAGCCTGAGAGCCCAAGGGACAAGCTGTGACAACCAGGAGTCCCATGTAGGGTGGCGCACCCCAGGGCCTGGAGCCTGAGCCCCCTGCTCCTAGGGAGCTGGGCTTGGAGAACAGACGCACCCCTTGTGTGGACCTCTTGCTTGCGTGTGTGTATTTGAGCATTTCACGCCCTGTTGGAGCTGGAAAGTTATTTGTGTTCAACTGATATTTAACACTCCCTCCCCTACTTCCTCCCGCCCCGTGGGCGGGGGTTGGAAACTTAGCACTTTATATTTATACAGAACCTTGAGAATATGCCAATAAAATATTGTTTTGTTTAAAAAAACAACTTCGCAAGCATCTGGTCTTAAGTCAATGTCTGGGGAAATGTTCAAAAGCTGTTTCTTACTCAGGGCTCACCTTCCCTTGGCAAGGCACACCTCGGTGGGGCAGTGGAGGTTTATTTTTGGAGATTTGGGCAATTTGGTTGTTTTTATTTATATATTAGCTTGGCAGTGTAGTTGGATGGTTAGGGGCCAGTTTGGCCTCACCTCGCTGTGTTTCTATATCCTTGTCTGTTAAATGGGATTTATTGTTAGTCCCCACCTGTTAGGGTGGCGTTGAGACTTACACAAGTGAATTGTGTAAAGCTCCCGCACCTGCGCATAGTAGGTGATCAGGAAGTGTGAGCTCCTGGTGGCCCAAGAGGAAAGGTTTTCAGATGTGCAGTTGTGCCTCTCAACCAAGCTGGATGCCTACGAGGGTGGGGCCTACGGTTTGCTCAGCCTTGTGCCCAGAATCTGGCACAGATGGGCACTCACTCCACGAGGCAGCATGGGGGTGAACAGCCTGCCCCTGGTGCCTTGTTTGCTCTGTTCCCTGGTGAGAACCGCAGAGCTGGGATGGCTATCAGGGCTTCCTCAGGCCGTGAGTGGGCTTCCGTTTGGACCTGCCCAGAATGCCATGCCCATTTGGGATAGTGGGGGCAGCTGGGGCCCTGAGTCACCTGGCCTTCCCCGCACACAGCCCCACCTCACACACAGCAGGACTGGTGGCTGAGGCCCCTGCTCATCCCATCCTCTCACCTCTACCCCAACTCACCCCACACAACCCCTCAATTTTACCTTCCTCTTCCCAGGGTTTTAAGTTTGTCTTCCAAACTGCTTTTTCCTTCCTTCCTTCCTTCCTTCCTTCCTTCCTTCCTTCCTTCCTTCCTTCCTTTCCTTTTTATTTATTTTAACAATTTTAACTATGGTAACAAATATATAACAAAATTTATCCTCACTATTTTTTAAATATATTTTTATTGATTTCAGAGAGGAAGGGAGAGGGAGAGAGAGATAGAAACATCAATGATGAGAATCACTGATTGGCTGCCTCCTGCTTCCTCCCTACTGGGGATTGAGCCTGAAACCCGGGCATGTGCCCTGACCAGGAATCGAACCACAGAGGGAACATCAATATGAGAGACAGATCAATTGGTTGCCTCCCGCCCACATACCAACCTGGGCTGGAGATCAAATCTGCAACCCAGGTACGTGCCCTTAACTGGGATGCACAATCGCTGAGCCACACCAACCCAGCCATCTTTACTATTTTTAAAATTATTTAAAAATTGATTTTAGAGAGAGAAGAAGGAAGCAGGAGAGAGAGAGAGAGAGAGAGAAGCACCGGCTGCCTCCTGCATGCTCCCTACTGGGGATCCAGCCCAAAACCCAGTCATGTGCCCTGACCGGGAATCAAACCAGTACCTTTTTGGTGCACGGGACCACACTAGCCAGGGCACCATCTTTATTATATTTTGTTGTTAATCCTCACTCAAGGATGTTTTTTCATTTCGACCCTCTGGTGCTTGGGCCTACCCTCTAGCCACTGAGCCACCCAGCCAGGGCCACCTGGGCTATTCTAAGTGTGCTGTTCAGTAGCATTAAGCGTATTTGCATTGTTGTGCAGTGGATCTCCAGAACTTTTCCTTCTTACAAAACTGAAACTCTGTTCCCACTTAAACAACTCCCATTGCCCTCCCACCCCTGGCAACCTCTATCCTACATCTGTCCAGGAATCTGTACACATCCTGCAGTGGGATCACACAGTTTTGTCCTGTTGTGACTGACTTATTTCACTCAACATAACGTCCTTGAGACGAACTGCATTTCTGAACTAAGAACCTGTTTCTCTGCCCAAGCAGGGTGATGACTGGTCATTGGGATGGTTTGAGCTCGCGAGCACTCTCATCTGAAGGGTCAGCTCCACGTGTTGATATCCCGCCTGGCAGTGGGGACCTCTGTCCGCATCCCTTTATCCCGCCTGGCAGCGGGGACCTCTGTCCGCATCCCTTCTCCCTGTGATCCAATCCCATTCTTATGAGAGACCTGGGTCCCAGGCACAGCAGGGTGCTGAGAGGTGCTTGAGGACAATACCTGGCGTCTTTGGTTCTGTGGCTTCCCTTCACTGGAGTCCCCACGTCCTCTGCCTGCAGGACTTAAATCCAGGGATGGCCACACAGGATGGGCCTCTGGAAAGGCTAAGGGGGTTCAGAGGTGCGGGAATCGGGACAAGCAGCTTAGCTTTGGAATGACAGGGGATGGCATCAGTGGGGATGACAGGGTATCATATGTGAGGATCTAGGTACCCAAGAGGCTCCGCCTTCCCCAGGGCAGGCTAGAGCAGGCATTCAGCGTGTGAACTCTCCCTGGTTCCTGTACTTGTGACTGTCCCCTGTCTGTAGGCATGCGAAAATAAAAGCTGATGAGGATGTAGTGAACTTTCCCTCCTCCCACAGACAGACCGGGGAGCCTCTGGGTCTCAGGCAGCTTTCCCACATCTGAGCACAGGCAGGGGCAGGAACAGCGTTTCCCTGGGTGGGAGGGTGAGGTCCCTCCTGCGCTGGGTCTCAGCGTCTTTCTGTGATGATTCTCTGCCCCCTGGTGGTGGGAGGGGACCTCAGCAGAGGCACAGTCCCCAGTGGGACGCCTCTCCCCGGGGTGCCTTGTACCTGGCCTCTGGTCCACTTAGCCAGGGCGGAAGGATCCGACCAGGGTCCAGAGGCTGGAGGTGGGGAGCTCAAGCAGGAGTGGGAGGGGCTGCAGGTGAAGTTGGTTGGGGAGGGGCTGCAGGTGGAATTGATTGGGGAGAAGCTGAAGGTGGGGGCAGGAGAAGCTGCTATTTAAGGGCGGGTGACCAGGCTGTAACTAGGTCTGGAAGCCAGTTCCAGCTTGCTGAGGGGTCAGTGGGCCCACCGTAGACAGCACAAGCATGGGAGGCTTCTGGCCTTGGATGCTGGGTCTGCTCTCTTTGCCAGGTAAGCGGCTGCCTCACCCTCCTGCTTGGGCTTCAGGTTGCAGAGTGCTGGGCAGAGACCAGAGGGTGTGGCTGGAGCCTGCCAGGCCCTGAATTGGTTTGAATGGCTTAAGAATGGGCTCTCCAGGGACATTCCTAGAGTCAACTCCAGGGCTCCCCGCCGGGAGGCCTCCTGAAGGGCCCACAGCAGAGGCCAGCCTGGCCGTGTGGCACTCCAGAGGCCTCGTTCTGCTGGCTTGGCTAGGCTTGCCGGGCTGAGAAGGGAGCTGTAGGGCAGGGTCTGAGGCTGGCCCACCCCTGCCACCAGTGTTGCAGCCTGAGCTTTGTCCCTGTCCCTCCTTCCTGCTGTCCCCCCACCTCAGACACCCACATACTCTTGAGCAAGGGCTGGCTTTTGCAGCCGGTGTTGGTCCCGCTCGGGGAGCCCCTTCCTCAGAGCTGCCTAGGCCTCAGCACCGGCGGGGGCTGAGAGGGGCGGCCAGGCAGGCTCCCAGGACTGCTTGCTGGAGCCTCCCTTAGTGAAGGGAGGGTCACCACGCCCGCCCACGTCCTGACATCCTCTCCCACACGGGGCGCTTGGGCCCATGTATGTCTGGGCCAGGCTTGATCCTAGGAGCGCCCCCAGCCTCCAGCTGTCCAGGAGCCTGTGGGAGCAGCTTCTCAGAAGGCCTCACCCCTGAGGGGACCCAGACATCTTGGGACAAGGACATCCCTGCGATTAATCAAGGTGAGGGCACCGTGTCTTGGGCGGGCGCGGGAGGACGGGGTATGACGGTGTCCACCTGGTGTGGGGAGAACTGTGCTGACAGCTCAGCCGGCGGAGAAGCTGAGAGGAAGCGCACCTACTCGTGGGCTCTAGAGGAGTAGCGGTTCTCCCTGCAGCTTTCCCCATCGTTTCAGTAACTTTTCAGCTGGTGTTGCTTTCCCAGAAGGGGGAGCGCATGGGATTTATGAATGGCCGAACAGAAGTGTGGAGCTCTCTCTGTCTGCTGTCCAGCTCGGTCATCAGTGGATGTGGGCAAACATGTCGGCCACCTGGTGCAGAACGGACTGCAGGTGTGAGGGGACGAGCTGGGGATACACGAGGCCAGGGCCTCCCTGTCTGGGTCTCAGGTGGAGAATGAGGACACGTTGGTGTCCTGGGACCAAGCTGAAAGAAACACAGACGAGGGTCCAGATGTTGGAAGCTTTCTTTGGGGGAGTGGGTGACCTCGCCCTGGGGGATGGGACTGTGGATGAGGACGTCATGCGTGGTCTGCCCCTTCTTTCTGTGAGCCCATCTGCAGCCCGGCACTGCTGAGCCGGAGCAGGCAGGACACTGCCTTTGGTGACTTTGACCTGTCTGGGGTAGCAAGACCCAAACTGAGGCTTCCCTGGCATCAGTTTTTAGATGCCATAGAGAAAGCTTTTAGCTACTATTGCTGGCAGCCCAGACAATTACATTCCATGAGACTCCTATAACAGCTGGGAGCACACGGTCCCAGCTGCTGGGAATGCTGGCTACTGAGGCCTTGCAGCTGCAGGCCTTCAGCCAGGGATGTTGGGAAGCTGCCCTCCACTGGCTGGGAGCGGGGGCGGGAGGGGGCCCACAGTGACTCATGGGTACACGCATGTGGCCCCTGCCTCAAGGCGGGACAAGTCCATGGTGTCACTGGGGCCCAGAGCTCCGCTGGGATTGTTACCGGAAAGGTGGACCTGGCCCTTAGCGTGTCTGTCTAGGGCTGTGGTCGGCAAACTGCGGCTTGCGAGCCACATGCGGCTCTTTGGCCCCTTGAGTGTGGCTCTTCCTAAGCCTTAGGAGTACCCTGATTAAGTTAATAACAATGTACCTACCTATATAATTTAACTTTAAAAAATTTGGCTCTCAAAAGAAATTTCAATCGTTGTACTGTTGATATTTGGCTCTGTTGACTAATGAGTTTGCTGACCACTGGCCTAGGGCCTGCCCATAGTGTTTGGGTTTCTGACTTCATGCAGCAAACGTTTCCTAGCAGGAGTCCAGGTGACTGTGAGGGAACGTTTATTGAAGCTGGGGACAGTAAAACAAGAAAGGGTCTGGTATAGGAGAAGCAACAGGAGAGCCTAGGCTGGGCTGCCCTAGCTCTCTGGGAAGTCAGAGAAAAGGGGGACTTGGGGACAGGCTCGGGGTGAGCCTGGGACAAGGGGCTGCTGCCCATTGCTCCCCAGGTTGCAGTCTCCTGGGGTCCCTTAGCTCTAGGAGATGCATGCCCTGGGGGAAGAAGTGGTTGAGGAAGAGGGGGAAGGGGAAGGGGGGCTGCTCCCCAGAGGGAGAGCACAGCTGGGTCCTTTGTCTTGAGGCTTTCTCTTTCTCACAGGCTGGAATTCAGGGGAGGGTTTTAGCAGATTATTCATCAATTTCCTAGGTGTGCTCCCCCCAACCCACAACTCCGTCATGGTCTTCACTGATTGGTCAGTGTCAGGGCAGGGAGTTGACAGTCACTGCAGCTGGTCCTGATGTCACCCACCTGGTTTGGCTGCCTTTCTGGGTCTGGAGCTGAAATACAACTGAGGCCTACATGTTATTCCTAGGGAGGTGGCCTTCTGTATCTGCTGTGAATTGCTCAGTTTGTTCAGCTGTCTGTTTCCCTATCCCACCTGTCCTGGCTTACTGGCCGGTCTCAGGATCAGGCTCCCCTCCAGCTGAGCCCGTTCTTCCCCAGAGCTCTCTACATCCCAGAGTC